CGGGGAACTCTTCAAGTGGCGCCTAAGCGCCCGAGGTCTGGAAGGCACAGGCGGGGCGGCGGCCGGCGGGGAAGGACGGGCGGGTCGCGGGAGCGCCTGGCGGGGCGGGGAGAGGCGGCAGGGCAGAGAAGGCCCGGAGCCCTCCTCCAAGTGTCAGACATGAAACTTTCGTTGAAGCAATTTCGAGAGGACAGTTGGAGAAGTTGTTCTCCCAGTCCCCGTTTTATATTTATGGAACCTAAGCTTCGAGCTCCGCGCTCCCTACGTCCTTCACTCCCATTTACTGGCCGACGCTGCCTCCCACTCCCACCCCTTTGATCGTGCACTTGGAACATTCCTGGCCGCCATTCTTGCTGCCTCGTGCGCGCTGTTTACTTGGCTTCGAAAAATGGCTGTGGTTTTGCGCCCTTACAGCTTCGTGAAAGTTCCGTAGTCTTTACAAAATGTCAGCAACCAATAGCAATTGTATTGGGAATGGAGAGCGCACGGATTTTGCTCTTTTGAATACGTTTGTTCATGTTCATGAGGGATCGAGCATGGCAGAGGCTCTCTCCGACCTAATTTCTATGTCTGGAAAAAGCTTCTCTTGGAATGTGCACTGTTCCGTGACACGGCATTATTGCGTTACGGTAGGGTTGGCCCATTTCCCCACTAACTAAAGAATTGTTTTACTCTTTCACTTAAGGATCCTCGAAATTTACTTTATTGCATTGTAATTTAATGGATTTGCGTTCAAGGTTGTTGCTGCTTCTGAAATACTGGTTTAAATATTTAAGAGTTCAACAAGTTTTCTTTGAAATTTCCAAAGGCAAAACCAAGAAAAAAGGAACGTAAGAATGTCCCCAGTTAGGAAGGGAGCTATTTTTTTTATTGCTCTCCTTTTTGCAATAACAGACCCCATTTGGTGACTTTATAGGAAACCGGTTGGAAACAGGAAGGTTTTACGTTGGTTCTTTCTCACCCGTGGGCTTTGTGAAACGTCGTTTGTGTAGTTCCCCTGACAAGAATGGTTGGGATGCTATTGCAGGGGGTTGCATACAGGTATTTGAAAAAGTTCCGTCTTCTTTTTTTGTAAAGGGCCCGGCAGGCAGGCATTAGAGCACCTTTTGTACTAGAGACTACTTGTGATGTTGACCTTACCTTGATAGTTACTGCTTTTAGGCTTTATGGGATTGAACTAAGATGTCAGGTGTTTGATTCAGAATTTTACCTTTTCTCCTGAGATTTACTTTTAAAGCTTACACGTATGCACATCCATACTCATAGTTGCGTCTGAAACAAACAGGTTTTACTTCTTTTATTAGAACGTGTCAAAAAATAAATGCGCTATTTGTATCTGGAACCAGAATTTGGGTTCGGATTTAAGAGGATTATACTGGTGTGGGTACTGTTTTATTTAATACTATAGATTGACATTCCAAAACTTCCTGTTCTCAACTTTAAAAATGAAAGGATGTGAGGGGCGCCTGAGTGGCACAGTTGGTTAAGCTGCCGACTCTTGGTTTCCGCTCGGGTGGTGAGATAGAGCCCAGCCTCCCGCTCCATGCCCAGCTGGAGTCAGCTTAAGACTCTGTCTCCCTCTCCCTGTGCCCCTCCCCACCTTAAATAAATAAAATCAATCTTTATTTTTTTTTCTTTCTTAAAGACTTTATTTGAGAGAAAGAGAGAGAGAGGGCAGAAGTTGGGAGAGAGGGGAGAGGGAGAAGCAAGCTCCCCGCTGAGCAGAGAGCCTGATGCTTGTCCATCCCAGGACCCCAGGATCATGACCTGAGCTGAAGGCAGACGCTCAACTGACTGAGCGACTCAGGTGCCTCTTGATCTTTAAAAGAAATTTTAAAAACAAAAATTAAAGTATGTGGAATCATGTAATAATGGTTTTTGTCTTTTCAAGCCACTTGATAAGCTCTTAACTGTGATTAGGGATATGACAGGTATTATTCATATTTTTTTGTTTTGTTTTTTAAAGTACTATTTTGCAGTTCTTACTCCTGTGAAGTGCATTTTCTCAGTGACTGCTGAGAATATATCAAATCCTGGAATAAATCCCAAATTAAAAATACAGTATTTTAGTACAGACTTTTACTTTCTGTGCAGAAATTCCCAACTACATTTCACCTGATTTCCAGGTTTTTTCTCCTGCTGAACTTTTTCTCTCTCCCAGGATGGAGATGCCAGCAAGAAATGCTATTCAGCAACTGACCCATGGAATTACACCATGATCACCACTTCCCCAGCACCGCCCCCCACACACTTTTCTTTTCAGTAGGCAGCCCATTTCCTCCAGTGACACATTATTTCAGGAAATCTTTCAGCACACCATGTAACATAAGCTTTGAAATGTAGGTATATACAAGATCAGGTGTTGAACACCTTTTCACGTGCCATTTAAAGATCCTCTTTTTTGAAGTACCGGCTCATGTTTTTTTCTCATTAACAGGAATAAGAGGTTATGCCTTTTTAATCTTGCTAGAGTTATTTTAATGGAGTTTTGGGAGGGAACAGGGCTAACTGTATGTGAGTAACCTGCCACCTTTAAGTGGAATTGGGTAGCTTTAAAGCTTCATCCAGATAATTTTTTCTCATTTCTGTCCTCTCCAATGATTCAACCTCATTTTTTTTAAGATTTGTTTATTTATTTGAGAGAGAGTGTGGGCATGAGCAGGAGGGGCAGAGGGAGAGGAAGAGAGAATCCAAAGCAGACTCCTTACTCAGCACAGAGCCTGACTCAGGGCTCAATCTCATGACCCTGAGATCAAGACCTGAGCTGAAATCAAGAGTCGGATGGTTAAGTGAGAGAGCCACCCAGGCACCCTTCAATGCCAACTCAGGGCTCGATCCCAGGACCCCGGGACCATGACCTGACCCAAAGGCAGACGCTTAACGACCGAGCCAGCCAGGCGCCTCAGTGTCCTCCTCTCTTTGAATTCTAGCATATTTCAGAGCTGCTGTTGTCCTTCGGTCTTCAGTCATTTGAGTGGTGGGTAAACAGGCCCCGAGGGTGAAGGAACTTTCCATGGTTGTAAAGCACGTGACAGAGCGGAGCTCCTCAGACCCTGCAGTGCCACACTCCATCCCTCTGGAGCATGTGTGTCTCATCTCACTTGGAGCTCGGGAGTCCCCCGAGGCACAGGCTCTTGTTAGTAGGGACTCAGCCTCTAGCTGCAGCAAGCTCCCCAACACTGGATAGTGGTGAACAACACAGGCCCTGACTCTCTCTGTGGGTTGGACACAGTTGGTGGTGATCGGGTGGCTGAATGGCTGGAGGGTCCCTTCAGCCGGGAGGACCAGGGTCAGGCCGGCTCCAGGTGCTGACCAGCACATTGAGCATGGTCCAGGGTGGGGCCGAGGCACCCAGCCTCCGACCTCGGTCTTGGACTGGGAAACACCAGAAACTGTGGGTAGTATTCCCCGTTCTGAGAGTAGAGACCTTCCCACCCTCCACAGTCCGAATGACTTCGGGGGCCCCGTGGCACAACGGCCCTGGCGGGTCTGTGCGGGGGACCTCACAGGTCTGTGCCGGTAGAGGTCCCAGGCCAGCAGGCCACAGCTGGTCTGTGTTTGTTTCAGTGTTGGGTGGATGTCCCTCTTGCTGGGGAGAGAAGTCTGAGCCGGACACGTTTGCTTTCTGCTTCCCTCTCTCCAGTGAGAGACCTCATCCCAGAGGAGAGGCCGCCGTGCTGCATCTGTGCCCCAGGTGGTCGTAGGACGTGTGTGAAAGCTCTCAAGGAGGTAACTCGGTGTTGTGTTCAGCAGGTCTGAACTGTGGGTTGGCTGGCCCTTCAGAGAGCCCTCCTGAGGTCACACGGCGAGGCTGCTGTCTGCCGACTCTCCAGGCACTTGGATTCCGTGTAATTAGGACGCTCCATGCCATGCAAGC